GGGGGACGGAAATATTCTATGCGGCCGTGGCGGTTCGGCTTCGAGCGTCTAGGCGACGTTGCGGATACTGAAATGTCGTATCTTAATTAATACTCGCCCTTGAAAAATATATTGCAGTACCGTATGCGACGGGTAGCCTTCCGTTTGATTGTGTGCATTTTCGAGTAGCGTCCCGTCCGCGTGGAATATTTCCGTCCACCGAATGTTCAATTCTGGCCTCTGCGCGACGTCAGGGCCGCCCTCGCGGCGGGAGCGCACTTACCGAGATGCGTGTTGGCGGCCAGCTGCGCGGGCGCCGCCGGCGGCTCCTCCTCGCAGAGCGACGTCTCCGAGGGGTACTCGAAGGTGCGGGTCAGCGAGTCGTCGAACTGGAGCTTCAACTGAAACACGCACGGAACGTAGTGAGTGCTGGCTGCTCCGCCTTTGGTGCCGCTGACTCCGAGACGGGCATTTTATTGTTGTATGTAATACATAACTATTGTTCCGTCACAATCTCACGATCGTAATGTTTGTTTGTTCGCCCCGTACCTGTCTCTATCTGCCGACCCGAGACAAGGGAATTCCGGGGAGACTACGGACCCCCCGGCAAGACCGGGATACGGCGGGCGTTCGGGCCGAGCCCTCCGCCGGTGATACGCCTTCACGGGCATCTCTGGCGGACTCGGACTTGAGTATGAACTCGCCGGGGTTTGTGGTTAGCTGCAAGGATGAACACGTCCGTCTGCCCCGGAGGTGTGTGATAGTCGAGGGCCCGAGGCGAGGACACGCGCGGTGCACGCGAGTTGCCCTTTAAGTCGGGAGCTATGCCCGGACATTGTCGCAGGACACTACTACCGGCATCTCCGGCAGCCCAGAGAACTAGTAGAGGATGAGCTAGACATCCCCCGGTCCTTCCGGCCGCTAATATTTGAGAATTGGAGAGACGCCGTTTTTCGGCGTCGGAAAGCGAGCGCGGTTTACAGCTCCGCCACCAATGAGGAGATTCGGTAGTCGACGGCTCAGCGGTGTCAACCGTAAGTACGGAGGGTGCTGTACGTGCACCCGGGGCGGCTAACTCGAGGCACCAGCCTTACAGAGAACCGGATGAATCCCGTGCAAACGAGTCAGGACCTGTGCGTGGACCTTCCCGCATAACCGGCAGGTTGATAGGGAGGGCTCTGTAACGAAAACGTATGTAGAAGGATGCGTACCTTGGAGAGCCGCGAGGGGTCCCTGCGCGCGCGCGCGGCCAGCAGCGACGAGCGCCCGTTGATGAGCACGTTGTCGTTGACGAAGCGCAGGCGGCACGGCGACGGCGGGCCCCGCGCGCAGTCGCCCTCGTCCTCCGAGTCCGAGCCGCCGCCCGCGCCCGCGCGCAGCACCGCCACGCCCGAGTCGCCCGCCTGCAACCACACGTCCGTGTGCTGACAAGTCACATCTAGGTCGATGGCGGCCACGCGTCTGGAAGTGGCGCTCTTTACCCAATTTCATTTGTTAATCTAATGAGCGTTTTTCATTTAATGTATTTCGTTAATCGAAAAAGATAATGATAATCGTTCTACTGAAAATCCATCGAAATTCTTATAATCATATAGAGACGCCTTTCCAGCTACCGTGTAAATTTAAGCCGCTCAAAACTGTGTTTCGTACATCTATTAGGAGATTGCGTACTGCGTCTCACGACAAAGGCGTGCTTAAATCGTCGCTTCGAGGGGCATGCCGTATTGTATATTTCAGTTGTCTAGGCCCTTGGAAAAACGTTCCCGATTCATTTCGCCTTTGAGGACTTACATTTTGGTACATGCACACGAAAGCCATACATTTATGTCTTTAGAACCGAATTAGAAGTTAGAACGACCCTATCCTAAGATTTAACTTTTTTAAATGTTTTTATATAGCGTGCGCAGCTTGAACGCCCTCTGAAATGGTGCGCCCCTTTGTGTTGATATCACATTTCTATACAAACTTTTAAAATCGATCTTATATTTCAATAAAAAAATAAGTGTTCTATTATTTGCTTTTATTTTACATTTGCAAAAGTATTTATTTTGTATCAATTTTCAGTTTTCTAGACACAAACAATAGATTTCCTCATATTAATGATTCAACATCCTGTTCTGCCTCATTTAAGAGGAATTTTGAAATGTTCTAAATAATAATAACGTATTTTAAAACTACGATCTACGCCTGGACAAATGTCCTGACATACAAAAATCCTAAAAGCAGGTGTATTTATACATAGCCGCCTTGTAGTAGGCACAGACGCAATTACTACCTGTACATTGAGCAGAGGGAAAGATGAACTGAAATTGAAATTGCTCTGCTCATTCAGTTCCGACCGAATGCAAATCCACATCCGAGCGCGCCGAGCGTTAGGCGCTATCGCTTTCAGAAATTTTAGCGCCGTGCAGGTGTATAACATTATTTGAATAAGCGAGGAAGCTATACAGATTATTCGTTTTCCTTCGCGACCGCGCAAATGTAGGCACATTTTATTGTTTGTGCGCGCACATCTGGGTCAATAGTTATTATATTCCGCCACGTCGCAATTTCTACTGCATAGCTATCTGCGTTACGACACCGTAGTGTTTGCTCTTTCAGTGGTATTCGCCGGAAACTGGTTTTGCTGCTATAAGACGGATATTCAACTAAACGCATTATACGCAATCGAATCTGACTACCTGCAGCTGTCCTCTCCCGCCTAACCCAGGAGCCTGGTGTAAAAGTTGACGACAAATAGGAAGCACAAAATGTTATCTCTCTCATTATAGTAACGGCTGTTACGGTTTCCTGAAGTTGGAACAGAGTGCGTGCAGTTGAGACTCCACGAAGAACGATAGAAGCCCCTCGCCGAAATTTATAATAACATGTATGCACCGAGTCGGTTACCTAATAGAATTGGTATTACTGATTGCGGTGCAATCGAAAACAAATATATAGTTGCACCACAAAGACTCGTCCATTATATTATTATTATATTGCGAGATAGAAGACTATTTTATTTTGGTATACTGTACCCTAGAGAATATAAATGATTTAAGAATGTCAATTGCCGCTTTTGATTCTCGGGCTACCGTTCATCAATTGCACTGCTGCAAACTGTACGCGGTCAATCATCGAAAGCATTCGTCGACATCACACAACTGCAGCCGACGGCGGCGGCGTGCGATTCACGACTGTGCGCTGTTGCGCACGTTAACTGCACACATGCAGTTAGTCTGATAACAGCCTTAAAAGCCATGGAGCGAATGCGGCGGCGACAATGACGTTCCGCGTTACGTGGCGCGCAGCTCCCTGGCCGTAGAGGGTACCGTTATCACTAATGTAATCGCGGATTGTGTACGCGATTAAATAGCTTATTTAATTTCCGCTGAGGCCCTTTGCGGATTATTTCATAAATATTTTTATGAAAACAATTTCGTTCATACTATAAGTTGACAAAATGCTTCGGTATGATCTGAGTACGGGCGAGCCGTTGGAGAGTACGGATGTAGTACACGGTGTAGAGCAATCGGGGACATCATAATTTTATTCGTTACGACATGTTTTGAGTATAATTTTTCCTTCCTTATTTTTTTACTTCAATAATCCATCGTATTAGTTAAATTTATACGAAAAATACTTGCACATGCAAGTAAAGCAAATTCGCAGAAAACACTTGAAATAAAGTGAATTCACTGTGTGAAGCTCGATTTTGAGATAACTCATGCGGGTAGACTAGATGGCCGGCGGACGGCGGGTGGTCCAGACTTACCGAGGAGGAACAATACAAAACATGTAAGTTTAAACTGAAAACTCTTCGATAGATTCCAACAGCGCAAGGCAGTATGGGCCATATACAGCAGCAAAAGCAACTGCCGCAAAAGCCCTGCATAGCAAATTTCTTGTAGGTCTATTGTGTAAGTCTTTATGTTATTATTATTAAACGCATGTGTACTGTGTTGTTTTGCAAGGAATAAATGATTTTCTATTTCTATTTCTATTCTATTTCTAGCATATAGTAAATCATCATGACAAAGGGATGCTTTGGTAACATAACTTTATATGTAATCCGAACGCATTCGGTCTTACCGAGTCACAGTCAGCTACCGCCGTTGAGCAATTACGTATCGAAACAATTTACAACGAACGAAGATTGAGGATCATTTTCCAATATGGTGAATATTGAAATACAGTTGTAATTTAATAAATACGAAGCTGCGGTGTAGGGCAGGTGAGGGTTGAGAGCCGAACGCCGCAAGTCACCACCGCTGCAACCCGAGACCGCGTCGCAAAAGCCGCGCCGCGAGCGTCGCCTTACGTTCGATCATTGAGCGAATGTGTTACAACGATTGTAATTAAGTAGCATAGTCGTCCTCTTAATCACAGCTTTATATATAAACACATTGGGGAAAAACAGGCGCAAAGTAAAACTGCGCAGTTTACGAGACTAACAAGTAAAAATTAAAAACGTATCGATTCATTCTTTTTTTTTGTGGCTTTGGTTTCGTATATTTTTGTTAAGAATGACAACCTTTTGAGTTGAGAGATCGTAAAATTTAAACCAACTGCGGCAATGACACACTCTTGTTAAAAATTGGCGTTTACGCCATTTCTTCCCCGATATATCAGTTTTTAAATTTTGCCATTATGCTCGTTCCATCACTGAAATCATGTGACCGAGATGTTCGAGTTAAAGGGCACGTGTTAAAACGAAACACTTTTACGTCCATTTGCACCTGACAATTTTGATTAACGGCTAACTACTACAAAAGGCACCTCAGGAGGGTAACTAAGGGCCGTATTCCAGAACTCCACTCAATGCTCAAGTCAGGATCTGAGTATGATTTCAAGCACTGGAAATACGACCCTAATGGGAGGGACTTGAGTGTGATTTCGAGTGCTTTAAACCATACTCAAATCCTGACTTGACCATTGAGTGGAGTTCTAGAATACGACCCTGCGTGTTGTCGACGATTTCAATACTTGTAATAAAATCATTTTCTTGTGTATGTTTCTAAATATAATCTTGCCAAGATTGCGATGTGCTGCCTTTAATCGTAAAGGAAATTCACTAAAGTTAACCCAAATTTTACTAAACTGCGCGACAAGATTCGTTGTACTTCGCCTGTGGAAACGATGAATGCACAACGAGTTTATTTCGCGGCACTGCGAGTTGCAAACGATAAAACAAGTGACCTGTCTACTTAAAAGTCGAGGAAAAAACACAAGTATTAGAAGAGAAAGAACATTATAAGTATTAATAATGCCGGGTTTTCATAATTTGCACGGAAATAGCAAAAACGTACTTCATTTCATTTAGTAGCATTAAAGCTCCTTGCGAAAAAGTGTGTCCAGGGAAATACTGCCACCTTACTTTTTTCTGCCGCCAAGCAGTAATATGAGCATTACTGCGTTCCGGTTTTAAAGGGTAAAAAGCGTAAAACACACGGAGAGCGGGTGCTTCGCAATTTAAACCGCTCAGAAGTGGCAGTGCAACTGTTACGGACAGGCGTGTCGCTTACCATCAGGCGCACGACTTGTTGGTCCCGTCACTTCATATTGTAAAAAAAATATTTGGCTAATTAACATTTGTATCATTTGTAACTGTTTGTTTATATTTACATTTATTATTCATTCGTTCACACTTTCATTTTCGACGTGCCGTCTTAGTAGGTCGTTCTTTTTATTAAAATCGTCAGGGACAGTTTGGGATTCGGTAAACACGACACGGATTTAAAATTGGGAGTAAATTGTGGAGTCAAGTAGGACCGGTTTACCAATACGTGCTTATGAGGCTTTGGTCACAAAATTATACGTATTTAACCAATATGGCGTTACAGCAAATGTGTTGATGTCTCGATCTAAATATTAATGAAGAACCGACTAAAATAATGAACTGGTTCCTCAAAACTCAAAGAGGTGTACGTCCTCGGTGGAGTTGTCATAGCTTCTTCCGTTTGCTTGTGTCGAGCGACAAAACCATAAATGAATAAACACATGTCCATCGAATAGTAAAGTGTACGTTGGTCACAATAGAGCTAGTGGAAATTGCAAATAGTGCTGACGATAAAATAAAATAGTGGACGGTACTGAATAACAATCAAGCTGGTGTGAGTCACATAATGATTGACTATGTCAGCGCACTAGTGCGCTACTCGCGAAGAATCCGCTTGTTTTTCGGTATACGTACGAGAAGCTGTTGTAGCAAGTGGCGCTCGAGGCGCAGCGCGGAGCGTCTTGCATAGTATCCATACCAGTAGTATTAATTAATGTAGGGGACCAACCACGGTTTCTCAGGAGAGTCAAAAAACGATTTAACTTTTTACTGCCTGCTCCGATTTTAATTGTGTCTGGAGCAAAGTTTCTGAGAATTTCCTCTTCTTTCAAACTATAAACGAAAGATTTAGGAATGCCCAGTGGT